GGTGTTTGGCGGGGAAATGCAAATGCATTACCTTTTCTACGGAACAAGTCGCCATACATGTTCCAACCCCCAACCTGGAGGGCCAGGAGACTGTGTTCGTCAGACCTCTAACCATTGACCAACCTGGTATGAGAGACCCTGTGAGTGTCGCGCGGACACCCCCGCAGTATAGCTCAGTGGGTCGCTGAGGTACACAAACCGCCACACCACGATAAGGTCCAGTCTCTTCGTGACGGATCAATAATATTGTCATTGTTCCTGTGATGTGATAAAACAGTTGTTGGTTGTGTGACAAAAATTGCCAATTTTCAGTTGGAATTTTTGTCCTGTAAGTGGGGCTAATCTAAAAGGCTGTAAGGTCCAGTCTCTTCGTGACGGATCAATAATATTGTCATTGTTCAAAAGCTGTGATAAAACAGTTGTTGGTTGTGTGACAAAAATTGCCAATTTTCAGTTGGAATTTTTGTCCTGTAAGTGGGGCTAATCTCGGCTAAAAGGCTGAGGAACATTTTACGGCTGATTCAGATGTATGCATCTGATGAAACTCCAGGGAAGGGGCTTAAGTGGCGTTACATTCTGTCTCAATGCGAATTAATCACACGGCCGATCAACCACTTGTGACTGAACGACTAGGTGACCAAACTACTAGACCAGGGGTTAGCAGCTCAAAACTGCATGGAATTCCGTCAGATGCGTACTGCCGATGGTTCCCATTAACGGTGAAACAGCCGCACAATGCTTACCGGCTTCGAAAATAGATCGACTTTACGTACAGAACAGTTTGCGCCAAGTATGTTGAAATCGATCTGATCGGCCAGACAGCCAAAATATTTGCGTTCTTCCTACTGCAACGTTACTTCCACACAAGAAGAAATCAAGGTTATTTTCACCAGTTAGAAAGTGCGGCAATGGAAAGCGCTAGCGTGTGAATTGTCTAGATTTCCGAAAAGGAGTGCGACGACGGAGTGAAATTTTTCACCATCGGTGCCCAAACAGAAAGTTTACGACACTTATTTGTCGTATGTGCAGCAGGATGAAGCTGACCAATGGCTCCCACTCCGGACCTTTGACTCAATAGTTTGACCCAGGGAAAAACGGACGTGAGGGTTTCCTGAAGGAACCGCGCCTGAGGTCATTGATTGAAGTGATCCACTTGGTAGTGGATGGGTCTGTGTAGCTAGCAAGTAATGATGTCGCTGCGCTGTGCTTAAAGCATCCCAATCTGACTTTTCATTTCGCACTCCAGATCACTCCAGATTTAGTCGTTATGGAAAGGGTAAAGCATCTTGAACTCGTACTAGAAGTCAGTCCTATAACTCACGATGTTGCCCTGATACATGTCTGCATAACCGTTCAGCTGTACACCCTTCCGGTGCCTAGCTGCATGGCACATCAAAGAAAGCAAGAGGACTGAGATACCACCAAATTACCAAAGCCCAGACAGAAGCAAACGACATACAGATGTCGGGTTCGAACCACGGATCTTCCAGTCAGTAAATTCGCGCTCTAACCACTGAGCCATCTCGAGCTCGTCTACACACTCTACCGCAAACGGCAAGCCTGTGTTGACGCAGTGTTTCGTTCCGGCTATCTCGAATGAACGTACTTACAAAGACACATACATCAGTTGTGAACGCAGGCGTCTAATTAAAAGGTCAGCTAAAAAGATCGATAACCTTTTATTAATCAGTAATTAACACACTGACTAGCTTCGGCCGCATATGGTATCTTAGTTTTGATAAACAGGCAACCTGAACTTATTGGCGCCGGTTTGTCCAGTAGTTTAGACGTTTAGTGGTGATTCTGATCTGCTTGCTTCAGCCCAAATTGTCGGTATTTAGAGTTCCAAGATGCGTGATATTGGAGTAATGGTGGTAATAACAAAACATATGAAAGTCAAGACTAGAAGCATGAGAATGGAACACACCTGAAGATCCAGTTTGTTCCCCACAAGAATAACCACCACTTCGGGAGCAGCCAGCTGACGTACATCGCTTAGCCAGTGGGAAAGTGCGTTGAAAGAATCTCGGTTGGTTATGTCGTAAACCAACAATGCACCCACGGCATCGTGGTAATAGGACCGTGCCATTGACCGAAAACGCTCCTGGCCTGGAATCAGAGGAAACGATAAAAGCCAGATTAACCTAATGCTATGAGAATAGCACACACGGATCAGATATGCATTCTACTAAACGGCTATCGTATTCCATAATTGTATGATCGCGTCCTGGCTGGAAAAGCCGTCCTACCGGCCCTATTTCGAGTAATCCGTTGGTGACTGTTATACAACACTTCGAGTCAATCGACGCATTTACTGTCGAAACTCAATGACATTGCCAATATATACTGTGAGCGAATAGTATATATTAGTATCCTAGATTCCCTGCCAAAAACAGATCCTCAGAGTATGAAGCAATCAACGAGTACAAGTTATCCATAAGTGAACATACAGTCATGATCCCAGTTTTCTTACTTCCTCCTTAATAAGACATCATCAGACTTCTGGGACTCCGCGGTACTCGGAAAACTTGAGCGAATGAGAAAGTCTTGTCACTTCACGTCGAAAGCTACATTAAACTCGTTAGAACTGCTCAGAATGAGCCGCAAAAGAAGGCAAACGATAGAGCTCATGCTAAATAAAATATCTCGCGAAATACCATTCAGTCCTCGTACGAACACAACGAAATAGCGCGTCAAGGAGAACTAAATAGAGAAGCAGTGGTTACCTGCGGTGTCCCATATCTGGATTTTTACTGCAGTTCCATCAACACTGATGATTTTGCTGCCAAACTCGGCACCGATGGTATGCGGCATATTGCCTATGAACTTCCTTTCCGTATATCGCCTAAGAATACAGGTTTTCCCCGCCCCCGCAGTTCCGATGATGAGAAACTTGAAGAGATAGCTAAATTGATCGACTGGCTGCATTCTGGATGGAATATGTTATTGCTGTCCACAAGAAGACGAATTACAGGGGCACTAGATTAACGACCAATCTGGAATGTAAAGGTAAAACCGTTGTTTGTGGAGGGCCGCAAGCTGTGAGGGTTGTTGGTGGATACTCTCCGCTGAGTGACGTGTCCGTGGAAAAACAAGGGAATCAAGAGTTGTCAAACATGGAATCACTGCATGTACGCAAAATGACAAAGTGATAGAGGTAAGCAGTCCAGAATGCTTAGTCCTGTCAGTTGATTCGTGTCAAGAACAGCTGACATCTGAACCATGGGTGCTTTTCAGAAATTACTTAAGAATAAAGTAGTGTTCCAAACCAGTTCAAGTCAGTTTGAAAGTCGTGTAGGCCGGTACCTTATTTCAAGCGGCCGCAGCTCGTGACACCAGGTGGTGTTAGGTAGTGGGTAAAGAAAAAACGTTTGAAAAAAATAAGAAAGAAGTTCCAATGGTTGAGCATAAGAGAACAGATACAACAGCGTCATAGGTTACGCGACACCACTATGCCGGCTAGTAGCTCCAACGGTTGATTTGGTCATCATCATCATCATCGTCGACAGCATGACATGACAGCATGACACCGATGCTTCACTGCCATACAACCATGACTTATTTGAAAGCCACATTGTAAAGAAAAGAATAAAGGTGGCTGGGGGGACTTAGTAATAGCTTAACACAATCATTCCGAGTTGCTACACCTCCAGACATTCACTCAGGCAATCTGGACAGAAACTGACAACAAGAACGCCACTGACATCGGTTGGCAGCCATATCTTGTAGTGTCTCCAACCAGGCACAGTGAGGATCACGCGGTCCCCATCCTGGAAGGCGAGTAGCACCGACAGCACCCAAGCGTTTCGTGATCTCCTTCATACTCCTCTGCCAAGTCAAGGGTTGGCCACCTCTCTGTTTTGGTGGGCCTTTATTACCTCAACTCAGCAAACGCAACTTATCTGAGCAGCCATGTTCTGTCTCCAAGTCACGCGCCATCCAGCTTCAGCAGTCTTCCAGTTGGGACCTGTCTCAGAAAAAGAGGGCACAGCGAAGCAATCAACTAACTAGCATATGGAGCACAGCCAAATGAGCGTAGAGTACATAGTATGGGAGCGAAGCATCAGTGTTGAATACCGATGTTGTACCGTCGACAACATTACTGATTACTTGGTGCAACCGAATCAACCCATCAGTTGATCAGCACTGGTAATCGAAGATAGACCATCTTCTTTTGTCTTCTATGCAAGCGGCCTGGCGTCGCGACCGCGAAACAACAATGGATGAATCACCGCGTTGTAGGCTCTGCCTCTCATCGATAGATTCGTGTCACGTCAACCAGAGGTGCCTCATCCGAAGGAAGGCAGAGCGGTCTTTGGCGATGTTAACAATGCGCCATCCGACGCACTGCAACCACCCAGGTAGGGAAATCTGTCCACTCTCCCTGGTGGTTTTGCTTTCACGACACAATTCGGTGGTGTAATCGCCCAGTCCTATAATAACACTTTACAATTCGAAGATGCGAGAGGTATCGTAACATTATTTAATTTGGTTCGTATCAAGACGAAATCTGAAACAAGTAGCGCACCAGCGCCCACATATTTCGGGTCTTTGAGATCATCCCTGGGAGAAAACTCCATGCCAGACGTAGAAGACATAGAAAACTAATCCGATTGCGAAGGTGAAAAAGGGTATCAAACAGTAGTGCTGAAGGGCACCGTTTTCAGTGGATTCGAAAAATACGTTCCGACTAATTTCAGGTTCCCAAGAACTCCCTGAGCATTCCTTTCTGAGCAAGCGTGTTAATGAGAACAGACTAGTCACCTGAATCAAATCATCATCACCATCGGAAACAGTAACATGATTTTTGACACGCTTCACTACAGTATAAACAAAGTTTACCTTAACACCATTCAATCCTTGGAGTAAGAAGAAGAGAATAGTGGGTGAGGGGAGACCTTGTGCTGCCCTATACCAAGTATTCTAAGTTGCCTACACCTCCAAGTGCCAGTCAGACAATCTCATCTTCATCATCATTGACAGCAAGACATCAGTATTAGATAATAAATAATGATTTACTGCCATGCAACCATGACTTATATGATAGCTTTATTGTGAAAAGAACAAAGGTGGACAGGGAAGGGAATTAGTGCTTGCTAGAATTATCCCAAGGTGCCTACACCTCCAGTCATTCATTCAGGGAATGTGGGTAGAAACTGACAACAAGAACACTACTGACATCGACTAGCAGCAATATATTGCAGCATCTACTACCAGATCCATTGGAGATCACACGGCCCCCACCCTGGAAACCAAGTAGCACCGACAGTACCCAAAATTCGTAAACTCTTTCACACTCCTCTCTGCCACCTCTCTGCTTCCGGTACTCTGAATTGGGCACTAAATACAGCACTGTTCTGCAAGCGATGGTCCAGCACACATAATACATGGCCTAACCAACGCAGCTTCTGGTGATGGACACATTCCTCAACAGAAGTCCCCGCCGCACAACCGAAAACCCACTTTCTAATTACCTCGGTGTGTATTAACCGACACCAACCCACACAAGCTATGGTCCTGAGATGACGATTGTCGAACACCTGAAAACATCTCAGTCCCGTTGCTCGAACACGCGAAGTCTTACAGTCATAAAACAAAAAGCCGGCACTGTGGCATGATACACACGTCCTCTGAGCTTAAGCGACACATCGCTTTGACGCCATAGGCGTCTCAAATTAGCAAACGCGACCCAAGCTTTGCAGATGCGTGCACTGATTTCACTTGTCATACCACAATCAGAACTAATACAACTTTTTAGATGCGTAAAACTCTTCACAACTTCCGGTGTCCCTCCAAAGTGGTACGAATGGTGACTGAATGTCCAGGAGCATGACCTTACATTTTGTGGGTGCATACCAAAGGAAGGGGTGAATATGGTTAGTCCATCCAAGACACCTCCGCTTCGAAGACGAGGAGAATTGGTTTGTATATTCCAGATCGACAAGGTTTCCGTCGGAGGCCATTAGAACACCCGGGTTTTGAAGACCTTCCAGCATTCCTCATTATTTCATCGGTCACGAAATGAAATAGGAACGGAGTGAACATTCCTGACGGACACCCCTTTCAGTATGGAAGCTTTTGGAGAGCTCTACGTATACTTTCACACGTCCGGAAGTCTGAGAATACGAAGAACTTATTACATCCACAAACTTACAAAGCATTCCTTTATGGGCAAGCATGTCAAGGAGAACAGAGCGGCCAACCGAGTAGGATGTGTCTCGGAAATCAAGGGATAGTAAAATTAAGGGTCGTTTGTACGTATGGCGTTGTTCTAGCACCTAACGGAGTCAGGTCAGCGCAACTCCTACCTGGTAGGAATCCTGCTTGTTGCTCCCGAGTCAGTGTTTCACGAGACACCATAAGGCGGCGAAGCACAAGTGACACCCACAATCTTGTTACGACCGGAGTCAAGCTGATCCCCCTATGGTTACCACATTCACTACGAGCTCCAGGTGACTGGGACGGTGTCCTTTTCAAAAATGCAAGCAAACAGATCAGAAAACCGCAGACTGAAGACTTCGCACCCATTATTTGAACGTGGGAGTTCATCCAGACCAGGACCTCAGCGGCGCTTGAGAGAACATATGCAATCACAAACCTCCGATGTCATAGGGGGTTCCACGTCCACGATTCAGGGTCCTACGTCAGCAATGAGCTCCAGATGATGCCCTTGTACTTGTAAACTGCTCTTTTTCATGCTCAGTATCATCTTTTTTCCCATCATTATCAGTCACATCGCTGTACAAAAGTTTGTTTTACTGAAATACAACCGCTACCGCCCGCTTGTTGGCTCCAACGTGACTTTGAGACTTTTGCTGAGTGACTGTTGTTGCGACCGCCGGTTGGCTATAATTGACCGCTGCTAACACTAAACGTGAACAAACATTTCAGCTGCAAACACTGGACTAGTATATTCACACTTGTGGATTAATATTTCGATCACCGGAGATCTGGAATACCAGGAAGATAGAACTATTCTTGGTGTGGTGGTTCAACGGAATACGGAACCACGGAATCTCCTATTTTGAACTGTGAGTCAAGATATACTTGCATTTTTCTCCTTGTGACTTTGTATCTGGCTAACATTAGTAATTTGCTCTATTCACTAGAGACTCCATAGGGCCGTTAACCACTACACCCTCTTCTTTGCTCAGGAATGTCGCTCCATTCTGATCCTTGATGATTGGACACACAGGTCGTTCCTGTGGGCCGGTCGCATGGATCAACAGAAATAATCCTCTGGCATTCCTAGCGATTAACTTCCCTCTAGTGGGACTCCTTCACAGACTCTGTCAGACGAACCGCACAGAGGCGAATATCAACGGGAATGCAGTCAAGCAAGGATCATTGCGCCCGCGAATTAGGACGATACCAACCCCTGCAAATCCAGCGGCTGTTGCGGCTGGATCGCCAGAGCTGCGCAGCCGGAGTGCATATCACGTCCAATTAGAGTCGACTACTATAGCAAGTTTCACATGCGCCGAGTCTACCCACTTGCATACTTAAATCTCCAGGCACTGTAACGATATCTGGGATGGGACCCGCGTAGCAGAAAACCCTAGGTGTAAAAATGTTGCCTTTGACAGTCAAAAAGCTAGCAAGTTGGATTGTAAGCAAATACGGTCATGCTCCCCTTTGTAAGATTCCTTCCCGAAAGATGTCAGACATTCCGCACAGAAGAGACTAACGACGGGTATGAAAATGAGGAAGGATCCTTCCGCCCGGTGACTCATAGCAATGGGGACGCCTGTAGGGCTTATCGCAACAGCCTCTGGATCGCCAGAGATACCCAGACGCGAGCGAATGGAGTGGTGGAATAGTTAGCTGGACAACTGTGCTTGGCTGTTGAATTCTTGTTTCTGATGCATAAGACATACCATTCGCAAGAGTTAAATGTGAAGACACAAGGTTTGTCTTGTTCGCTTCAGAGTTCGAATGGCGGCAACATTAACTGGGAGTCAAGGTTGATACCGAGACACCTGAACCCCAACGCGCTGGCTAATGCGTACATGTCGCGGACAAGAATGTCTAGAGGTGTAGGCACCTCGGAATGATTGTGTTAAGCTAGCACTAAGGGGCGAGATGGTCCAAGTGGTTAGAGCGCGAATTTACTGACCGGAAGGTTCGTGGTTCGAATCCCACCTCCGCCACTCGACTTCCACTGCCTAGGCTTGGGCAACCTGGCAGTATCCTAGCCCTCGTGCTTCCTTCGGGTGGCATGGCAGTTAGGCACCGGAGGGGTGATACAGCTGAACGCTTTCTTTCAGCTGGACGCACTAAGTCCCTCCCCCATCCACCTTTATTCTTTTCCTTACAATGAGGCTTTCAAATAAGTCATGGTTGTATGGCAGTGAAGCATCGGTGTTGAACACTGATGTCATGCTGTCGATGATGATGATGATGATGATGATGATGATGATGATGATGATGATGATGCAGGAATGATTCAAAACCAATGGGGTCGTCAGACCTGACGGATGGTATACAAAGGCCGAGTTATTAATCGTATGGGGTGAGGGGGTGAAAAGTGTGACAAAAAGAAAGGGGCGTCCGCAATAGCCTGTTTTCTCTCACCTGCTGTATGCAGCAAGTAATGCGGTTCGGCTGGTGACACTGTGTGACAGCCGATGTGGCATGGTAGTATTTCTACGTGTAGC